CTAGGACTATAACAGCATTTAAAAGAGAACTGGATAAATTCATGGTGGTTAAGTCCATTAATGACTATTAGCCAGGATGGGTAAGGAATTATGTCCCTAGCCTCTGTTTGTCAGAGGGTGGAGATGGATGTCAGGAGAGACATCACTTGATCGTTACCTGTTAGGTTCACTCCCTCTGGGGCACCTGGCATTGGCCACTGTTGGTAGACAGGATACTGGGCTAGATGGACCTTTGGTCTGACCCAGTATTGCCGTTCTTATGTTATGTTCTTACAGCATCACATCGGGGGCTCAGGTTCGATTGGTTGCAGAGCCACAGTTTTTTCAAGATACAGCTCGCCAGCCTCGAAGTGTGACCTACATACTTTGTTCTTAAACGTATGTTCTGGCTGTACTAAATGCACGCTGTCCTGATGAACCCACCTCACCAAGCAGGTCATTGTGTATACCTGATCTGTCCCCATCATTATTTACTGTTCTACCAATTTATGTCACCTGCCGATTTTATCAGCAATGATTTGATCTTTGCTTCCAAATCATTGACAAAGCTATTTAACAACAATCAGCTGAGAACAGAGCCCTGCAGAACTCCACTAGCAACACCCCCCGCAGATAATGATTTCCCCTTTTACCTACTTTTCGTACTCTATCAGTTAGCCAGTTGTGAATCCATGGGCTGCACTGATTTTTCTATACAGCTATTTTTATCAGAATGTTATGTAGGACTAAGTCAAATGCCTTATAGAAGTCCAAGTAGATTGTCACCAGCGTTGCTTTTATTAACCAAACTTCAAGTATGAAAAGACCAATCTTCCATAAAACCATATTGCTTGGCATGAATTACATTACCTTCTTTTAATTCTTCACTGATTGTATCCTACTTTAGTCTTTCCATGATTTTGCCTGGGAGTGAGGTCAGGCTAGCTGGCCTATAGTCTCCTGGGACATCCCATTTCATGATTTTAAACAGCAGTACAACATTGTTTTTTTTCCCCATTCTTCTAGAACTTCCCCAGTGTTCCAAGATTTGTTAAAAACCAACATGAATGATTCAGAGAGTGCGTCTGCTGGTTCTTTTATATTCTTGGGTGCAAGTTATCCAGTCATGCAGATTTAAAAATATTTATCTTTAATGGTTGCTGTTTAACATCACCCCTAGTTACTGATGGAATAGAAAATATATAATTGTCACTGTAAGGTATGAATACATCATCCTGCTGCTTTCCACTCACAGAAGAGAAATATTTGTTGGCTTTTCTCCATCATGATTAATAATTTCATAGTCTTTATCTAGAACTGGACCTATCCCATTGCTATGACTTTTGCTGATATATTTGAAGAATTCCTTTTAGTTGTCCTTAACCCTATTGGCCTAGAGTTTTTGTTGATACCTTTAGCTTCCTTTATCAGTTGTCTGCATTTCCCAGCTGCTAAGGTGTACTCCTGGCTATCTGCATCCCCATTTTTTCCATTTAATAGTTTTTTTTTAATTTTTTTATATTGCAGCCTTTACCTTTCCTCTTAACTAGGATGGTTTTTAACCAAATAATCCTTCTTTCTTATTTATGGAATTTTGCGGTCTTTTTAGAGCATCGAATAAAGCATAGTTAAACAATTGCCAACTAGCATTCACATTTTTATATTTAAATATTTCCTTTCATTCAATTTTGCATTTCATACTCAATATCACTGGGTCCCCCAGCACAGGCAGATGTTCAAATGTAGGTGGGACCTTATGAAGGATGAGAGAAGAGAGACCTCCCATTTTTATCTTTATATCCCAACTTCTGCCTGGCAGCTGTGGGTCTGCCCCACATGTGGGGAGTTTGGATCCAGAACCAGTCTGGTATTTGGCCTGTTTCTAATGGCTCCAAACCAGAAAATATTCAGCTCTGCGCTTTTGAATCTCATGGCTCAGCCTCATCTTCAGTAGCTCAGTCTACTGTTATGTAAGGCTGTGTGTACTACCGCTGTGTGTAGTCGATGCAGAACAGGACGCCAGTGAAGCTCGCAGCCAGAAGGCATCATGACACGGTACCTTGGAGTAGCCATGCTGCCATTGTTCTCCAGAATCTCTCATCTCAGGGATGTGATCCTCATGGCAGTGTGTGCACAGAAGAGAGGGTAATGTTCGCTGCAAACAGCTCCCCTGATCCTAAAACAATCAGCTGATTTAGCTAGCCACATTGCGTGTTGTTTGCTACAGTGCTTCTCATTTGCAACTGCAGATCAAGAGCCCACTAAGGGCTTAACTGCAGCAGCTTTCATCCGCTTATCACTGTCGCCCCACCGAAACAAAATCAGATGTGTACTAATAGGAAGCAGTGGGTGACAAACAAACAATTTTCTGACATTTAAGATAGGCTCTTGGTGCTTTTGTCCTGCCCACAAACTCACCAAAATGAGCACTGTTGCACTAAGCACAGTACCTAGCACTGAAAAAAGGGATAGCTGCACATGCTCTTTAGCCTCAGTTGTGCAACTGCTGACTGTCTGAAGGTTTATGAAATAATACTGTCTGCCAGTTATACATTCAGTAGTGTGCCACCCAACCTGGTAACATCCAACATGTGGGGTTAAAACATAGGTTATAGAATGAGGGGTAGAAGAACAATATTAATGCAGGAAGCTTAAACCACGGTGTGTGGTTTTGATTATAAATGATCAATAATAAATATGAGTGACAGCCTAGTTCACCCAGGGATCTCAGAGCACTTTCCAGGCATTCTGGAAGGAAGGTAAATATTGGAATATCCGTTTTACTCACGGGTGAGGTGATTCACAGACAATGTGAAGGACTTGTCCCAGGAACCCCACACAATCATTGGCAGACAGAAATAGCCCCTTTTGTCTCCTGCTCCAACCCCCCACTCATAACACCTACTAACATTTTCTCTCCCCTCCTTCCTGAGTCTAGGGTTCTCTTGTACTTTAGTAACAATTAAACAAATGAAAACTGTCATTTCAATGGGAGCTGGAAGTAATGCGTCTCACCTGGGAGGCTCGGCTGATAGGAAATCTGCGGCACTATCCCAGTTAGTTGTAAGTAGGCAGCTGGCTTTGACATAGGTGAGAAATTGAGCCTTTCCATTGTACTGATAGCCAGGATATGGACATGACACTCCAAAAGTTTGAGATGATTTTTCCTGCTCCATTTGGTACAGCTAGGTGGGTCAAGGCATCATCTCCCAGCTGTTTTATTCATCTCCTCCTTCCGGGCTGTTAGTAACATTTCATATCTTGATGGGCATGCGCTATATTTAGGTGGTGCCCAACAGTGAAGCCAATGGCCAAATAAAGTACAACTCAGGTGGAGGAGGGATGGCCTCCGATCAGGCTGGGCGCTTTGGGGGATGGGAGGTTTATGATACAGTTTTGTAGGCCCAAGAAAATAGCTTTTAATCCACTTGTCCCTCTTCAGTGACAGATCTTATTGTCTCAGCCTAGGGGTATTGGCAGAACAGGGTGTGCTTTAGACCCTGTCTACAATGGCTGACCAGCTGAGCTTAAAAACTTGGTATAAACAGAGCCAAACTACTAGCTGTGGACCCAAGCCAGAACATCAGCTCCAAACCACCTGGAACTGCTAGGAAGTTAAGGCTTGGGACAAACTGTTCTCTAGTTCAAACAGCATAATAAAGTCATGCAGTAATGAGGCCCATACCTAGACTAGAACACAGTCCTGACATGATTGACCTCAGCTTGGCTGGCCATTGTGGGCAGCATCAGAACTCCACTGGGACACAACCAAGTTTAACAGCGTAGGTAGGACCTCAGTGATCGGGGTGGTTGGGGCGGGGGAACTTGGAGGAGCTTAAGGAAATAGCGCTGGGTTCTGGTGGCTTTTTGTCTTTATATATAAAGAAACATAGGTTATGAGGGGTTCCTGCATGGGTTTCCAAAACCTCATTCACTGCAAAGCATTGCTTCAGCGAACGACTGTGGTGAGCATCTTCAAAAGGCAGGCAGGTTGCTGGGGTTGGCGTCAGGGTTTTGAGGACAAGTCTGACAACCATTCGAGTGGTAGGAAGTAGAATTGAGCCAGAAGGCTGGGAAAAGCCTGCTTGCATCCGCTGCTCAAATATATTTTACTCCGCAGCTGGAGAACTGGCATGGCTTTTCCCATCATGCTGTGTGTGCGCTTTTGGACCATTTTGATCCCTGCAACGTGTTGAATGCCTAAAAGTCTAATGAATCACTTAGATATGCTGCAGTCATTTTTACCTTTGAGGGTTCAGGCATTATAGAGCGGGAGGGAGGGGAGCAAAAGTTTAGGCTGTGAACTGTGCAGATCAGTAGGATTCAAGAGGGAGCCTGCTCAGCCATCTTGGCTGACTCCTGATGTTCAGCTTGGGGTCATGCTGAGTACCCTGGTGACAATAAGCATCCTAGCTGTTGGCTGCCCATGCAACCCAACCCTGATTCTTTGGGGTTCTCTCATCGCTAGTTAGTCAGTGAAAGGAGTCGCATGGGGTGGGAGTGGAAGGACGGTTTGAGAGGAGACTTTGGATCTCTGTTCCAGGGGATGTGTATTCCCTGCCTCAAAATTCACTGCTTCTCTGCTCTCTCACTGACTGGCTGTGCTCGCATTATGTAGGTGGAATGATGGCAACAGTGATCTATGTAGCAAGCCAGCAAAATGGCGAGCTGCTTATTCCATGTGTATTGATCTTATTAGCACTGGGGTAGCCCTGAGAGACCCCAGCTGAGACTGGGGCTCCATTGTGCTAGCCATTGTACAGAGACATAGCCCCTGTCCCCAGCGTTCACACTAGGCAAGCCAATGGAGGTGCTGTTATCCCCGTTTTACAGCTGGGGGAGTTGAGGCACGGGGCAGTTAACTTGCCCAAGGTCACATTGGCATTGAACCAAGCTCTGTGGGTCCCAGTGCCTTAAACCCCAGACCATCCTGCCTTTCTTTTGCTCCTGCTCCATGGCCAGGCCCATGTCTAGCTTTCAAAGCCGACAACTGCCAAGGTGGGACTGCGCAGCGCTGCCAGCGTAGGCTGTTGGAAATTGGTGACAGTGGAGCAGGCAGGTTTGTGCTCTAATGTGGTTACTCAGCACCCAGCTAAATGGAGGATGGGAACCCTCCCCTCTTCCACCCTCTTAACCCTTTCCTAACTCAGGGCACCTGCTCTCTTGGCCTGGCCAGCGGGTCTGGATCATGGGCATGGCCCGTGGAGGTTACAGTTGCAGCCCATGGCTGAGCTTCTAGCTGCTCACTTAGAAGCACCTAATGTGCCTGCTGCCTTTATGTGGGAGGAGCAATCTTGCATTAGAGAGGGTGGGCGGAAGCTCTTTGAGGTTTGCTGATTCTGGCTCAGGGTTTTCAGATTCAGGCACGTATGAGTAGATCTCTCACTGCTAGGGTGATGCAGGCGTATAAAGGCAGAGCCGGCTTCCCTCCTGGGGCTCAGTCTGCGGCTGGCACAGCCGGATTTAGCAGCCGCATGAAAGAGGAGTTCCATAGCCAGGGCGGCCCAGCCATTCCACTGCCCACCATGCAGCAGAACCTGAATTATGTCTACCCCCAGATCTTTTGGGTGGACAGCTGTGCCAGTCCCACTTGTGCTCCATCGGCGCCCATTGCCACCTGCCCGCCACCCGTGCCGGAGAGGAGGAGGAGAAAACAGAGCAACAAGAGGGATGGCACATGCCTCTGTTTCTTGGTGGTGGTTTTGCTGGTCCTGCTGGCCCTCGCTGGAGTGGGGCTGGGGATGTTTCAGATTGTCCAGCTGCAGAAGGAACTGGCTGAGCTCCGAGAGGTAACGTCTGTCTGGTTATTAATAGATTATAGAAGTGTCCAGCAATGAGACCCTTAGTGGATGTAAATTGGTGGAACTGGATTGAAGTCAATGTCCACTTGCCCCAGCTGAGGATCTGTCCCTATTACTGATGGTTATTTTACATGCCGTGGTCACTTACTAGGTGTGAACTTGTCTCTCTCCTGTTTTGACAGTTAACCAGCACTGGACATGTTCCTTCGTCTATGGAGAAGCGCATAGGTGAGCCATCCTTACCCAGCGAGTCAGTGTGTGTGGGAGAACCCGGGTCAGGAATTCTGTGAATGGCAGCATCTCTGCACTTTCCCCTTTCCTGTCCCCCACCGTGCCTTCAATTTGGGTGGCAGATGGCGGAGTTACATCAGTGAGGCTCTGATGCTTTTTAGATGACATGTTCACTCCTTTGGCTGTGGCAGTAACTGTGCATGTCATGGGCTTGGGGGGGCCAGTAGGGGTCTCCCTTCTGCTTGAGGGCTCGAAGAAAGCTGGCCTAATGCAGGCAGCCTGTGGGGAACATTGATTAGAGATGGACCCAGCCCTAGATCTGAACACACACAAACATTTTGAAAATTCAGATTCCCTTGGATTCCAACTCTGCAGCCAGGGTCCCTCCTTCTCCTTTCTTGGATGATGCATGTGATAGCCTGAGCTTCACTGTAAAGGTGGGATTCTGGTTTTCTTGCCATGCTGTGAGAAACAGATATAGGGAGAGAGGAGGAGAAAGGAAAATGGTAGCAGATGGGTTTCCAACATTACTATATTATTATTTCCTCTTGATTACCTTGACTTTTTGCCTCTTTTAAAGTGCAACTTGATTTTTTTGAGTATCTAGTGTACAAGCTGTATTGTTGTAACTAAAACTGGCTGAGCATTCTCTGACCAAATGTTTTCCATCTGGAAAATGTTACCTCAAAATCGCAACTTTCTGGATGAATGTGTCAATTTCAATGCAGTTTTGTTTAGAAAACAGTTTGAAAGGAAGTATCTTGAGAAATCATTCTGCCTCTGTCTTAAAATTGTAACTGAGTTAAAACGGATGCATTTTACTTCCATTTGTCCAAAGATTTGATTAAGTTCAACAGAATCACTCTGTGAGTCTTCAGTGGCCTTCTACATTTAGATGTTGCAAGGCTCCTACTCTCTAGGGACATGGAAATAGTCTTATCAGAAAAGACCAATGATCTGCGGCTGATTGTGCAAAGCTGGATTATACCATATGGAGGGAGAAAGAAATTTCTACTTGAGCCCATCTGGGAATCAGTTTGGAATCTTAAAGTGATCTGATAGCCCTTGTATTTTTTCCTAGCTATTCTAGGTACAGATGTTGCTCTGAGTCTTATACATTAACTACCCAATCCTCTTTTTTTAACAAATTTACCAAGCTATGGTGTATACCTGAATGCTGTCCTGCAGCAGGTAGTGTCACAGGTTAATTATGCCTGCCTGATGAAGTATATCCCCTGATCATTGTAACTGTGTGTCTCTCTGTAATTCCCCGGAGGGGACCCCCTTCCTAGTCTTAATTTCCTCACCGCGTTTTCTCCACAAAGCCTGAAGCTGTCTCCTTTCTCCATTTTAACACAGGACTTCCGAATGTAACAGCAGAGAAGAAGGTGATCAGGAAGGCAGCACATTTAACAGGTATGTGACACAGTGTAAAGAGTCAGCATGCCGGGGAAAGAAATGGCCACAAGAAGTCGGATGTGGATGGGGAAAGTGGTAGCTGGGTTACTTCCTAGCTAGTCATCTGGCTATCGAGCAGCAGAGTTCCCTTTGCATCATTCGCCTTCCAGGTTTGACATGTGAGACTCAAGGGTTCTGATTTACTCCCACTTCTTTCCCCATTCATTTCATCTGGTACTTTTACCTTTATATGGGTTTTTTACTTCACTTTTGGGCTGAGTAACCATGTGGCCTGGAGACTGTAGAGCATTTGACATACATGAATGAACAGTCCCCTGGCTCTGAGTTTGGCAGGCATCATGCCTGCTTTACAGGAAGAAGTTGAGGTTAAGTGACTTGCCTATGACTGGTGTGACTTGAAAACTGTGCCTCTGTCTAAATGCTTCTTGTTAATCTTTATTACTAGGCAAAGCTGATCAGAAAACCCTTCCTCTGGAATGGGTGGCCACCCTCGGGCATGCCTTCACCTCCAATATTCAATACAGACACCGCAGCCTGGTGATCAATGAAACAGGCCTATACTTTGTGTACTCCAAGGTGTTCTTCCGAGGCAAGATCTGCAACAACCTGCCCTTAGACCACATGGTTTTCAAACAAAATCCAGCCTACCCAGCTAGCCAGGTGCTGATGGAGGACAGAAAGATGAACTACTGTGCGGCTGGAAAGATGTGGGCCAGGGGCAGCTACCTGGGGGCATTGTTCAACCTCACCAAATCAGACAGCTTGTATGTCAACGTCTCCGAAACGGCTCTGGTTAATTTTGAGGAATCCAAGACATTTTTTGGTTTATATAAACTTTAGAGCTGGCCACCAAAGCATTGCTTTCAGCAAATATGCACTAGGACTGATATTAACAGGAGTTGGGTACTGTACGGTATAAGAAATATTCTGTCCATAGGACTAGTCTAATACTGTGCTGGGCTAGCAAGGATTTAGCTGGAAGAAACTCACCAAGCATCCCTTGTTTGGCCTTTGACATGTGACAGCCAAACTGACTTGGAAACGGATCTCCAAGGATTAAAACTTTCACCTTGTGAACTACTTGGATCACCCTAGGAGAACCTTAAGTGTAGCTGAAAAAATCTAGCATGCCAAAGGCCTCCTTTAAACTCACTACTCACTCAAGGAGAGTGTTTACTACCTGAGAAGAAGCTGATGCATTGGGCTCAGTTCTGCTCTGTTACATCTATGAAAATCCCGTTTGCCCTACTAAGGACAGCATTTGGGCCCCTGCAGAGATAGTGTTTGGGTGGATCTCCACAGGACTGGGGAGTTCACTGCCTGGCGCTGGATGCGATCATTGCTGGGGTGGGGAGAGATTTATATTATGTATGGCCATTTAGCACCTTAACTCTTTGCTTTTGCAGGTGCTCCAAGTGTCTGCAGGGTATGTCAGAGTAGTAGGGTTTTTTAAGTTATTTGCCATTTTTATCCTCAAATGTATCCCCCTCCCCTCCTCACATTTGACTTAGAAATTGGCGTAATTCCCAGGACCAGATTTTATTCCCAGGGCTCATCTGGGCCGTGTTCTATAGAGGATAACAAGCAATAATTACATGGATAATTTGGTATACAGAAGTGTGGAGGGAGGGAAGACCCTGTCTTTAACTGCTTCTCTGCCAAACAGCACGTGGTGGGTATCCGGCATCCCAGCACAGCTGACTCAGGCAAGGTTCAGCAGCAAGGAAGAGTGCTGGAGAGAATTTAGAGCACAGCATGGTGGGATTACACCCAGAACTCCCACGTAATCCCGGGTGGGGATCCATTGAGGTCTGTAGTTTAGGAACCAGGAATGAATGTGTCTGAAAAAATCCAGAATTGTTCCTGGGGGTTGTGAAAGTCCCTGTATCCCTTTCTCCCAGCAGCTGGGACGGGAGGTGCTCTGAGCACAGCCCTTGTCCTGTTCTGCATTCAGGAACTTTGAGGTGACCATCCAGAGATGGGTTTGGATCTGAGCTCTCCCTGCCTCCCCCCAGGTGGGTGATGTTTGCAGCTGGGGAGCTGGTTTAGGCCCATCTCTAAAATAGCCCAGGACACCCCTCACTGCAGAGTCCCTGGAGATCCTGGGTGATGGAGGGGAATTCCAGCAACCCCTGAGTGATGGGGCAGGTTGCAAGGGCCATGCATCCATCTGGGTGACCTCATAAGGCTCCTCCTGGGCCCTGGGGTTGCTGTGGTGCATGCTGGGCAGCCTCTGCCTCCCCTGGGGGGTTCTGCTTGCAGGCTTCGCTCCTTGGGACCAGGCAACAGCTGTCAGGGAACGAGGCAAGGATGGGAGCTTCCAGAGAAAGGTGAGGAGAGAGCAGCCCCCTCCCCAAACCCAGCCCTCCTGGCTCCCCTGCCCATCCCCCTGGCTCCAGGCCACCCCAAACCCAGCCCTTCCTCCACTAGCCCCTGGTACTCGCAATAGATCTCAGCACCTTCCCCTGAGCTCCCCAGCCTCCCCAAACCACCTCAACACATCCCTCACCCACAACATGGCTCCCTTACCCCCTCCTCACACATCCCCAACTCACCCCAGCAGCCCCTCAGCCTTCCACGGCTCAACCAGCTGCCACATAACCCCCCAGACCTTCTCCCACCATGGCTCCCCAGCCCACCACAACCTGCCCCTGGCTCCCCAGCCCACCACAACCCGCCCCCGGCTCCTCAGCTCACCTTCCTCCGGCTTCCCAATCTCCCCCAGCCCACCCCAGCACCTCCTACAGCCTCCCACGGCTCCTCAACATACGTAGCCCATCCTAGCACCTCCGCTGGCTTCCCACCACAGCCCATCCCCCACATAATGCTCCAGAACTTCCCCCACCTCCACAGCCCACCCAGACCCTGTCCCCAGCCTCCCATGGCTCCCCAACCTACCTTAGCACCTCCCCTGGCTTCCCAGCACAACCCAGCTCTCACATAACCTCCCCCAGAACTTCCCCCACCTCCACAGTTCCTCAGCCCACCCTAGCTCTGCCCCCAGCCTTCCTAATCCACCCTAGCACCTCCCCTGGCTTCCAGCACCCCCCATAGCCTCCCAGCCTCTGCACCTCCCCAGTTTCCCCAATCTACCCTGCACTTACCCCCCCCTACAGCACCTCCCCCAGGCTTCACCTCCGCAGCTCCCTAGCACTCCAACCCATCCCAGCACCTCTCCTTGGCCTCCTCTCACTCCCCAATGCAACTCAGCTCCCACATGACCCCCCCCAGATCCTCTCCTAGCCTTCCACAGCTCCCCAAAACATCCCACTGCCTTCCCTAGTCTCACCAACTTCTCCCAGCCTCCCATGGCTCCCCAAATGCATCTCCAGCCCCCCCAAAAAAACTCAGTCTAGCCTCTCCACTGTTACCACCACTCTCTGTTACCTTCCAGCATCCACCAGCTCCCCGGGACCCATCTTCCAGGTCCCCAAGCCTCCCAACTCTCCTTGACGCCCCAGGTCCCCCTCAGCCCTCCATGGCCCTTCATCCCTCTTTATCTATCCCCTCACCCCTTTGGTCCTTCACAAGGACCAGGTGTCCCCTGCACTCTCTGGGGAGGGTAGGTTGCCAGGCTGCCTCTACCCCGTACTGACTCACTGTCAGGTGAGACCAGCTAGTCGTGGGGGAGGAAGGGGACAGGGTGGGACCACACTTGGGGAGCGGGGTATTGCGTGGAGGAGGAGAGAACTGAAAACAGTATAGTGGGGGAAGGAAACAAAATCACTATTTCCTCTCTGGGGGTCTTCCCGATCTGGGTCTCCTAACAAACCCACTCCTGCCACAAATGTCCCTTGGAGAACACCTCCAAAACCTGGCAGTTGTGTGAAGGTTGGTCCCCATCCAGGGAGCCCTAGTATTCAGCAAACCAGCTGAGTGCTCACCCCTGCTTTCTCTAACCCCAGGGGCGTGCTGGAGGAGCCATTGCATTGACATAGGATGGCTGTTGTGAGTACGAGGGAGGGCCCAGAGTTTGCAGGATATGTCCAATTAGTGCTTAGTCTGGGAACGGGTGCAATATTAGTATACCCAGGAGAAGCAGAGTGCAGAGCTGCTCAGAAGCTGTGATCAGAGTCAACGTACAGCAGTGGGTACAGACCAGACTGCACCTGAAATCAAAATGGGCAAAGCCAACCATTCTTCGCCTGACTAACCTCCACTGACCATACCTGAGATAAAAGCCCGGCTTGTATTTATGCCCCAAGTACTATGTCTCAAATGCCCTTCCCGGAATGAGAATATAGTCTCAGTTAGTTTTCATTGGTTGACTCCATGTTCCATCACTTGGCTGTACTGGTTTTTACTGGCACCTCCACAAAGGACGGGACATGTTGGCGAGCACTATGTGTTCACTACCAGAAGTACTATTTTTGGGCTAGGTAGTAACTGAAAACCAGGACTTGAAGCTTGCTGAACAGGTTGCAGCATAATCCCAGACTGTGAGTAATTAATGTGACACAAAGCAATGTAGCAGTCAAGCAGGCAATCTGTTTAAACTATTGATGTATTATTCCCTATAATATATATCTATATGTACAGTATAAATAATGTTATTTTTATAAGTGTGATTGGCTTCATCTCATTCATGTGACTAGGAATGTGGATTTCATGAGAGCTAAGCACTAAACCTTCTCTCCTCAACAGTCTTCATTATACATAGGGCAGAGAGGCGTTCTTCCAAATGCCAGGATGTTCAGATCCAGATTTTTTTTTTTATGGGCTATTAGAAAGATTGGATCCAGCCATGGAGTCCAGATCTCAGTTCAAATTCCAGTCCCCCTCCAATCCTGCCAAACACACCCCATTGGGTGTTCTAGTGTGGTCTGGCTCATGGCAGAAGTATGGGGCAGGTGTGAAATTGGGAATTGAGCCTCTCATAGGCTGAGTGAGTTCCAAGCTTGGGATTTATTTCAATCTTTGCCAGCTGTAAGTGTTTAGGTGGGTGGAGGATGGGCGCATGATTTTAATTGTTGGAAGAAGCCACATGGCATCAAGGTGTGAATTGGGCATATCGGCTATCAGGTGGCTGTGCACCACTCCTCAGGGCAGCGTGACTACAGAGGCTCATCTCCTGGTGATTGTTTGAGCGGGGGAAGGAGAACGAAAGTGGGTAAAACAATAAGGAAGAGATGAGCCCAAGCCACAAAATATGGCTCCAGATCTAGTTTTTGAACACCGTGCCGTTTGGGAGAGGAGTGGAGATAGGGTTTGCTCTGGGGACCTTGGGGGAAGCAGTGGGGTCTAGTTAGTTAAGACACTGGGAAGGGTGGCGGGGGGAGGCTCAGGTAGACCTAGATTCTAGTCCTAGCTCTGCTATTGACCCGCTTTGTGATCTGGGGCAAGTTGTCTTTCCTCCCTGTCCTCTCCCCTTTCATCTCTTTTGAGTATAAACTCTTTGGGGGGCAAGGACTGTCTCCTACAGCACTTAGCATAGTGGAGTCTTGATCTCATGTGATGCTATAATACAAATAATAACAACTGGGCTCCAGGGACCCATGCAGATTTCCTCTGACTCTGGTCCTTTTAATGCCCTAGTCTGCAATCAGCTGAACAGCCCTTTAATTTCCTGAAGTCACCACATCATTGGCAGCGTCTGTACTGGGGGCCTGCTGATTTCTCACTCTCCCCACCCGGGCGAGGCCGAGAGCAGCAGTTCCCGCACCAGCGGCTGTCGGTGGCGGGTGGTCCATGGAACACTTGCTGGTGGTCAGTAGTGAGCTGGGTGGTGATGTGGTCCTGGTTCCTTCTCTTTGCACCACATTCAGAGACAGCTAGAATTACACCAAGGGCTGGATTCACAAGGGAGACTTAGGCACTAAGGCCAACGGTCAGGTGTCGCTGGCAATCACAAAGCTATCGCTCAGCAGCCATTTAAACCCCAGTGCCTGAATTTCTGCCCAGGGACATGGGCACAGCTACTGAAGTCCTGACAGCGCTGAGCTGCTTGGCACCTAATTCACTCCTAAGCCCTGGTAGGATCCATCAGCTAGACGGTCCCCTGCCTAGCTCCCCAGTGGGGCCTGATGTAGGAGGTGTTCTAAGAGCACATCTGAAAGCAGGCCTACAGGATCAGGCCCTATACAAAGCACAGCTAAGGAGGGGATGGGGATGGTGTTCCCTCCCCCCATCCTCAGTTCAAACATTCACCTGGGATGTAGGAGAACCAGGTTCAAATCCCCCCTCTGCCTGATTAGGAGCAGAGGCATGAAGGTGGGTCTCCCGCATTGCAGGTGAGTGTAATAACTGCTGGGCTGGAGGGTAGTGAGATGGGGTACTGCTCCTTTCTCTGCTAGCAACTGTTCCACTTTGTATAAACAATTCAATAGTCATTGAGCCAGTGAGAAGGAGAAACTGCAGCCAACCAGTCAGGGCAGAGAGATGGGAGATCTGCTCTGAAGTTGGCAGAGGCGGGATTTGAACCCTCACATCTCAGGTGTGTCCTGTAACCAGTACTCTATGAGGGTTCATGGGAAAGGGCTGCTTTAGACACCTAATTCCAGGAGGGGGGTCAGAGACGTGACTCCTGAGCAGTGACAGGTGCCTAACTGCTTTTAAATGGTAGGGCCTAGGCTAAGAACATAAGAGTGGCCATACCAGGTCAGACCAAAGGTCCATCTAGCCCAGTGTCCTGTCTTCCAACAGTGGCCAGTGCCAGGTGCTCCAGAGGGAATGGACAGAACAGGCAATCATTGAGTGATCCATCCCCTGTCACCCATTCCCAGCTTCTGGCGAACAGAGGGTAGGGACACCATCCCTTTCCTTCCTGGCTAATAGCCATTGTTGGACCTATCCTCTATGAATGTATCTAGTTCTTTTTTGAACCCTGTTATAGTCTTGCCCTTCGCAACATCCGCTGGCAAGGAGGCTATCCCCCTTTCCTCTGCCTTTCCAACAAGACAGATTAGGCATGTCCTTGCTCAACAGCAGGCTGGCTTTGGGGAATCCCTTCTGTCAGCACCTCTCTCCCCGTGTGCTGTCTGGGGAGCTGCGGTGCCTCACTCAGGGTTGTGAATTCCACTAGGCGGCAGAGCCCCTAAATGTTGAGTGTTGCAGCACCAAAGTCTCCCTGGTCACTCTAGCCCTAACTAGCTTCCCAATATCACTGGTTGGGGTGGGGAATTATTCAAGAGGCCACAGGGAACACGTGTGTGGAATACTACATTAAGATATGGCCTACTCTTTGAAAAAGTTTGTGATTGCCCAGGTTAGTCAGGTCCTTCCCTCCCCCTCCCCCCCCATGAGCAAAACTCAAGTTCAGCTCAGTGACATGTGAAGGATGGTTTCCTTTTGCTTGATTCTGGGAAGTGCACTTCTGTGAAAGTGGACTGGCTAGTAAAGTGCAGTGGCTGCACTGTGGCCAGAGCTGATTGGGCCGGCCCTGCTTTAGCAGCTGAGACTGTGAAATAGAGAGTTCCACTTTTTTTTTCTCATAACAGAATTGACCACCACAGTGTGGGAAATCACGTGTCCTATCTATGCCCTACCATCTCCCCTTATGTTATGCTATAGAGCAGGGGTAGGCAACCTATGGCACAGGTGCCAAAGGCGGCACGCGAAGTGATTTTCAGTGGCATTCACACTGCCCGGTTTCCGGCAACTGGGTCGGGGGGCTCTGCATTTTAATTTAATTTTAAATGAAGCTTCTTAAACATTTAAAAAACCTTGTTTACATACCCCAATAGTTTAGTTATATATTATAGACTTATAGAAAGAGACCTTCTGAAAACATTAAAATGTATTACTGGCACATGAAACCTTAAATTAGCGTGAATAAATGAAGACTCGGCACATCACTTCTGAAAGATTGCTGACCCCTGGTCTAGAGGAATCAGAGAGCTCAGGGCATGACATGATGTTTATCACTTGTAGATGGAGCAAGTGGCTGCTTTGAATCCAGCCTTGGCTAGTAGGGAGTAATCATTGTTACCAGCTGCTGAGTGATCTGCTGGAGTTGGTGGCCTCAACTATGTTCCTAGTGGACAAGTATCCAAATGAAAAAAATCCCCCAAATTGTAAGAAGGGCCAGCTCCAGGGTTTTTGCAGCCCCAAGTAGAAAGGGGGAAAAAAAAAGCCGCAAGCGTGATCTGCTCTACCACTGCTGCTTCAGTTTTCGGGGGCAATTTGGCAGCTGGTCCTTTGCTCCGAGAGGGACTGAGGGATCCGCCGTGGAATTGCTGCCAAAGAGCCGGACGTGCCGCCCCTCTCCGTTGGCCGCCCCAAGCACCTGCTTGCTGGGCTGCTGCCTGGAGCTGGCCCTGTACCTGGAGCCGGCCCTGATTGTAAGTTTAGGCATTTCTGCAGAGAATGCAAGGGTTGAATGGCCCATGCAGAGCAAACCCTTTCCCCATCTCTAGAGGTCGTCTCTCTAGGACAGGACTGAATCATGTTGCTGAGATATAGGTTATGAGGTGCAAATTTACAATGTTATATGGCTTACTTACCTCTTCTGTGGATTTAATCCTCCAGCTTGTATCAGCACCCTATTCCTACACATGTGTAACAAAAATCTTATCGCACTTTTCATCTGGAAGGCTCCCAAAGGTTTTTGACAAAATGCCACACATTCATGGACCAGTTCACCCAAACCTGTCATGCAGCCACCTCTAGTGCAGAATGTTCCAGCTGCTATTACAACATACAACAACAGTGTGAGAGAAGAAGTGATGAAAGATAAAGCTCGTTTCCAGCTGAAATTGCTAGGGGAATGTAGACAGGGAGATTCTAATTAGGATGGGTCACTGGGTCTAACAGGCCTATATTTGCAGAAAATACTATGAGATCTTCAATTGCCGTGAAGGGCAGGACTTAGTGTTTCCAACTGATCCAAAGGCTCCCTCCCCAGTAGCGTATTCCAATTAACGCTATGCTGAGTACTGGATTAAAGGGAAGAATGTCACCTGTTGTATCACAAGCATCACTTCTTACAGCTGCCTGGGATCGCTAGCACAGCCATGGTCAGACAGAGCCCAAACCCTCACTTAGCTGATGAGATCTGATTAAAGTGTCAGTGTTATTTCCTTAGGTGATCAGCCCTCTTTCCAATCAAGCAGTGTTTGTTTCCTGGATAGCGGGACCCATAATGGTTTTGAAAAGAAGTAGAGCAGAATTACCCCTTGAAGAGCTCTGTGCTGGAATATGGCCCTTAGAAACCAAGGGAGATCTCTAGATGGGTGAGAAATCCCAATTCCCTGGGTGTTCAGATGGGCTGTGGGCCCAGGCAGATTACCATATGGGCCCATGAGCCCCAGCCAATTTGGGGCCCCTAGAAAAATCTCCCCCGGCCGTGGCCCTGGGGCTGGAGGAGCTCTCGCTCCCTGCCATGTGGCTCAGGCTGCAGCAGGGGCACAGAGCTTCTCAGTCTCAGGGCCACAGCGGTGTGTGTGTGTGGGGGGGGGAACTGGGCAGGGCTGTGGGTAGAATGGGGATGGTGCTGCAGGTGAAGAGGTGGGGCAGGGCCATGGCCCCCCACTTGTTCCAGCCCAAGGCCCAAAGAGACCTTAATCCACCTTTGGCTATGGGCATGGATGCTCCTCCCCCACCAGATGGAAGCCTGGTAGTGGATTACAGG